GCTGTGAATGTGAGTGTCAAGCCAAATGACAGAAACATCTTGCGTCTCTTCAATTTTTATACGATTCAATTCATTTGCTTGTTGAAAGGTGGCTGGTGTCTGCTCGAACATATCCGAACTGCCTTGTTTCTGATTTGCCATTGCTGTGAGATTGGATTGTTTATAAGGTAGTTGTTGTAAGATGTGAGAAGTGGTCGTTTGGTAGAGAACGATAAAAGTAATGTGGTCCTTCACATTTTATGGAACTTGGAAAAAACATTCCTTCTTCTTCCTAGACAAATATTCTTACTCTCAAAATGAATCTCTGACGACAGCATACGACGAAAAAGAAAAATAACGGCATTTTGATTTTCAAGACTCGTGAATAGAGCGTAAAGCCGGCAGAACACTGTGGTTTGTTTATACAGCTTCATGCATATAGTCAAACAAAAATCGAACATCGTACAAAATCGTCGATTTATTCGTTAAATAACTTTTCAATTTCACATCGAACAGAGAAGTTCTCAGCTGAATCAGCAGCTTCTCCAGTTTCAGTCGAATATAAATGCAGATTTTAAACGCAAATCGAAGTATAAAATTATTTCTCAAGGAAAACATAATTCTATGCATGTACGAGATTCAGAGCTGCATTCAGTTCTAATACATTTTGAAAGTACAATTCTCATCTTTCTAACTTATTTTTGAAGTTAACAAAAACAGTCGAGTATTCGTGTGCATTCGAAGTTACATTAGGCAGCTCATGCTCTGATTACGAATTACTCGCACCAAGCTTCTGAAACTTCCGTAATTCGATAGCAACAACACGTAAACGTAGTACTAATTATATATGAGGATGATGAAATTGAAAATGCCGTCAAAAATGATTACAATTTCAAGTTTGATAATCTAAACGTCTCGTTGTTATAATTGCCTCATTAATTTAGATACGATTGTTGAGTTAGGAAAAAGTCATGAGTTGCCTAATTCGACTTAACATTATAAACGGACATCTGATAGACTAATCTCAGTTCGAATATAAATAGATGTATATCTACAAGTAGCGCTCCTCTGTTGGATTCGCTGAACCTTTTCTGAAAGAATTACAAGACTCAGATAAAAACTGTAACGTATATGTCACTCCAATCCGCTTCGAATTAAAGCCACTTTTATGCACATTCTTTTTCTTTTAATCCTTTTCTACTTTATTCATGTCAAACTGCTTTCAATTCATTTGTCCAAAGACGTGAGCAAAAGGAACACTGTTTCTGAAGATTTACTAATCGACTCTCTTCCCACTATTTACAATCAAAAATCAATTTACTTACACTTATTTTATCTCTTCCAGGCCACCCAAACAAACTCCTGGTCGCTCGTCGGTCTACCTCTGGTCGACCACTCGCGACTAGCCGTTACGTGTCCAACTTTCATTCTTTCATCTAGCATAAATTCCCTTCAGTAATGTTATCAATATGCTGATGAGTATGAGTATCCAGTAGGCGGACGTTAATCACCTATTTCGTTTTGTTCTACATATTGCTGCTTCAAACACTATCGCCTACAAAAAATCTTCCTTGCAAAAACTCGTACTTTTTCTAAAAAACAGAACAGAATTTTTCTACAGAAAAACTAACACCAGATTCGATATCTTCGATCGCGATTACCCTTCGGCCGACTCTTACTCAACGACCAAAAAATTTTTCATTGCCTAATTGGTAATTAACTAATTAGCTGTTTGAAGTCTCGAAAAACTAATCTCAAATTCTTAATCCTCAACGTCAGTCACCTTATCAGTGGTCAATCTTTGATCACTATAGATAAATTTCATTGATTTATAATATGCTGCAATCCGATTGGATTATGCAAACAAACAAACTTTATGCATTTTCATGACTGTATTTATGTCGGTATAACCCTTTCTTTCAGAAAAGGGAATGATCATTCAAATGAACAGAACGGCAAACAGCTGATTTATATATGATATGAATGAAGCACGGACAGTATAAGGATAACACGATTTGTATATATATATATATGATTATTTACAGTGAGAAAAAACATCATCAAACCTTCATCGTGAATCTTCAACCAGAAATATTCTTCGTTAACGCGAACCGTATGCTTTCATTTTTTGCATTGTCTCAGTTACTTTTTAGAATCTATTTGTTCTGTCGACTAGCTACTTTACGAGATGATTTTTTTCCCTAACATTTCGTTTCTTGTATCTTTTCTTTCTCGAAAAGATCAGTTGTTTTTACAATCAAATGGTTTACCTTTATTGTGAAATGAATATGGATATGATTGTGTACTTCTGCCAAAATTGAGATTCACTGAAGTCTACGCTAGATTGCAGAAATGATTTGTACAAACGTCTTTTTTATGAGTCGCAAATCATTTAGACGACTCTGTGACAATCAATAAGTGTTTGTGTCTCCAATTGTTCTATAACGTGAAAAGGAAATTATTGGCATTCATTGCATAATTGATTAAGACAAGTCTAATAGATAGACACGATAAGTGATTTCGTTATCATTCTGATGTACTTTTCGAAGATGTGCAGAATATTTTGCTTTCATATATCTTATCTATGGAACACTCGTTCGATTGTTACTTTAATAAATGGAATGAATGGATCTGTTAGTATTGTTTTAGTTTAATCTTCATCTCCCACATATGAAAAATAAGAAGGCGCTACAGGTGAACCTCAGTTCATACACATATATTCATCAACTCCAATTGAAACCAAATCACACGCATGCAAAAGAAGAAACGAAACAAATGAATATGTACAGGAAAAAAATGCTCATAGAAACATTTTTTCATTCTTTGTTACAATCGGCTGGCACCTTTGGACGGCTAGCGACAAGGAAAACATTCAGAAAAACACTCACATAAAGACAAAAAAAAGCCAACAACAGTTCACACGCCTCAAATAAAGCAAGAAGGAAAGAAGAACGTCAAAAAGCCAAATACTGTACAAGCAAACTGAATGGAATGTGTCTGAAGTATGCTCAGAACAAAAGAAAAGAAATTTTCGATTTTACGAGGAAAGAAATGTCCTAACAACATCATTGTGAATGATTTCAATTAAATCGAAAGGAAGTTTCATTCGAGTTAATAAACAACGAATATTTGCTTGATATGGTTCACGTATATACCATTCTCGTAGTAGTTGATAAGCACATTCATGGTTTCCATCACTCAGATAATATCTTTGACTGATATCATTTAGATCATTTTCATTGAAACATGGTGATAATTCTCGACCAATTGTTTTCCACAAACAGCGAAGTGGCTCAGCTAATCGATGAATTACTTTCATGTCTTTTAGCGATAACTAAAAGTTAAAGAAAAACATCTATTGTTTATTAAAGAAAATAACGAGATCTTGTTCTTACATTGCATTTATCGCTAATTGACAAACGAGATTGATCAGATGTAAGAATACAACCACATTCCAACGTGAAATTTTGTTGAATTTTCTAAAAGAAAAAGCGAATACCATCTATAAATAATTGAACATTCTTTAAACTGACACGATTTCTTTCTTTCACTCAACATCTGAAGTAGACATTTTTGATTTCTTTAGCAATAAATTATGCAAATAACATCATTCTCCTTTCTTGATTCTGTAATGAAATCTGTATTGATACAGCTTCATTCGTCTCTTTTTTCATTCTCGATGTATGTTGACATCTGATCATCACATTCTTTCACACGAATTTCTCATATGTCAATCTGAGAAAAGAACAATATGTTCATTTCAACTTCATTAATACACACCTGATTGGATGCAGTAGAGAAAATTTCATGTTCATTTGCTAAATTAAGATTCAGTTCAAATATCGGTGGGTTATTTGTATAAGAACCGTTCGATGGATCTAAGGATTCAACAAATAATTTTCCAATCACACCCGGACCAATTCGATTATTCTAATCAAAACAAAATCGATTCATTTCAAAACAAAAACATCGCTTTTTCCTTCTTTCTACCTTTAAAACAAGGGCAAATTGCTTATCGAAATGATGATGAAATGTCTGTGAAGCAATTGTTTCAAGCTTAATTAGAGATATATCTTCATGAACATCGGCGTCAGCACTGAATAACGAGGAAACTAAACGAACACGAACAACGCCTGATTTTATCGGTTTTGCTATTCGTGTTTTGCCAATTAAAATTGCATCTTGATCATCGGAATCATTTAATGATAGTTCGGTACTTTTAACAATGACATCAATTGAACATTTTAATGTTGATGGAAAGAATTTCAAATAGACATAGCAATGGTATTGTTGTTGTTGCTGCTGTTCTTCGTCTTTGTCTTCTTCTTTCCGATGATAACTTTTCTTTAATTTTCTTTTATATTCTAATGTCCAATCATGTTTCGAAGAATAATCTCGTAATCGTTTGAAATTTCTTGCTAGCGGAAATGTAAAATTGTGTTCAATTGAATGTCGTTTCATTTGTCGACGAGTTATTGTCGCCATTATTAACATGACGATCAATAAAAACGCAAGACATACCAAGAAGAAATCTAAAAATCAAATAGAAATAAAGTAAAGTACGTCATAGACACACTTTATCGTCTAAAGATATATATGATCATAATGACAAGATTCCACTTGTGCCTTATCTACTCGTCAGTTCACTTCACTACATCAAAAAAAACGAAACGAATAAAAGAGAAAGAGAGCGAGAAGAGAAGAGAACATAGTTTTATCTTCTTTTCGAAGAAATTCAATGTCAGTCGACGAAAAAAAACAAGATGGTGTTGATTATCTGATTTGAAAAGCATCATAGCGATACTAATGAATGTAGAGAATTCGAATAAAGATCGATGATATTGAACAGGTGAGTTAATTACAGCTAGACAACTGCTCTGAACAGATTTCATGATCATTAGGAGAAGATTTGTTCTGTGAAAGAATAACAGACATGCAGAAATTTGCTTTTTTTTCGCGTTAAAGTAAAAGCGAAGACTTTTGTTTACACTCTTAATGAAGACAATGGACGTCGCCTCTAACGTTTTCGTTCACATTCAGGTACTTGAAAGAGCAGCACTAGATGAAATATACAGAAGGATCTACTTTCCATTTAGTCAATTCAATACATCAGACAATACAACTCCATTAGACAAAGAGATGTCTTTTGTTTATTTGAAGTAGTGTTATTTTAACAAGAACAAGTTCGATGTTCATTTATTTAGTTCAACTAAATCGAATCGGATTTTTAAGAAAAAGAATTTTTCTGCTCACCTGTTCAATTTCACTCATAACAATGAGAATGTAATAAAAAACGGTAGCGTTGTTGGTTGTTGTCAAGACTTCACGTATACAGTTATACGGGAGAATTTTACTTGACTTTGAATGAGGTGTAGTGAAGAAAAAAGAGAAAAGAAAGTTTCTTCCGTTCTGCTTGTGCTCCTTCGTTTGCAGTCAGCCAGTCAGTTTATCTTTCACAACAACTCTGCTCTCTCTTTTACGTCTACTTAGCGACAACATGTGTGCGGAGGAGTGAAGTTTTCTTTTTCATCAGCACCTCTTTTTTTTTCTATTTAACAAGAAACAAAAGAAAGAAAGAAAAATGACGATAAAATAGAGTAGAATATACAAAGGCATTGTTGAGATAATTTGTCTCTGGTGAGATGTTAGAAATAATTAACCGTTCTTACTTGTGCGAGATAGAGTCAATGTATGTTTTCCATGATAATCATCATTCTCGATCTTTTTGTCTCTCGTGTAGAATATAAATCTTTCTTTTCTTTTGTAGATTTAAGTTCTGACTTCGACGGAGAAATAAGAGTGAGGAAAGGAAAGTAGGGTGAGATAAAGACGTTAGAATTTTACGGTCGAACAGCTCATTTCTTCTTCTTCTTCTTTCTTTGTGTGTGTATGTGTTTCATCGTCTTTCCTTCCTTTTTCCTTTTCATACAGAGAAAGAACACATACAAGAATTTATTAAAGAGAAAATTAGAAAATGAAAGTGTCATTCCAAAGAATGAAATACGAGTGACCTTTCACAGTGGTGCAATCTGATAAACGAGTCATTCTATGTTTGTTAAAGGAAAATGAAAGAAGAAAAGAAAAAGACGGTGACTAAATGAATTTTTCTTTATCTCTCATCTCTCTTTTTTTTTCAATTGACATAATGAACAAATTTTGTTCCTGTTCTATTTCTACTTCCTGTCATTTGGCACCGTGTGGATTAGCTAACACGCTCAAATCATTATCAGCACTGGCATCACAGAGTTGAACGTCTTCGGTGACGCGACAAGAACTACTTAGAGGCATTAAATTTCAAATATGCACGCACACCTTTCCCGTAATTACTTCAAATGAACAAAGGCATTGCATGTGAATAAGAAGGAAAGAACGTGCACATGATTGAGAAACATCAATCTGAACGATTGACATAGATAAATAAAGTCCAATATGACTTTTATTTACCGAATCGTTCGTATTTTCATGATCACTCGACTTTGAAATTGCCAACAAAGTATTTGCACAAGTGATGAAAGGAAAAATATGCTGAGAATAGTCCATAATCTTGTTAAATGTCCGTATGGTGCATTGTTTCGATATCCGATCGTGTACAAGGTTTCATGTGCAGAAAGAATTGTTGAATAGATACTTGAGTATTGTTCATTGTTCTCTACAATATCGAACAGATATAAAATCGAACCGGAAAAGATGAAGATCCAAAAGAGTCCGATGAGAGTTTGTAGAAATTTCCATAGACATTGAAAAATAGCAGATAAACATAATTTGATATTGACCAATTGATAACCAAGTTGAACTATACGTAGGGTCCGAGATATGTGTACTAAAATCCAAAGAAAATTTGATTTAAATAAACAGATATTGCTTATCGGACGTTGTGCAGTGAAATAAGATATGACACCGAAACAAGAGATAAGATCGATGAAAAAATTTGGATCTTTATACGATTGCTTTCCTTCTCTGATATTCACAAAGAATGTTGATGTAGCATGTGCTGTTGAATACAGAAACAAAGCACTATCAATACAATAGACGATTACAAGCAATATTTTCGATATATTTTCAAGTGAATTTCCATTAAACATTAATATTTGTCGATACAGATCGATCGGTAGAATGCATGTTCCGATAATCAATTGAAATAAAAGGAAAATATCGAGTAGAATTCGTTGTAACTTTTGTTCTTTACTCGTCAAACGATGTGAAGAAAATGGTGAACTAATGAAATTATTTTGTTCGTAATGATTGATTAACAAAGTAGGTGCGCCACAGATACGTAATCCGTCAATGAGATCTTCTTGAGATAGTGAATCTGGTCGTACAAAACAACCTGATTGAATATATAGAAGATATGCATTGAAAATACATGGATCAACGTCCAGTGATATTTGACGTTCGTTATTCGAAACAGGAAAATTTGATGAAGATTGAACAAGTTGACTATACAATAATGATGATAATTCAAAAGATTCATTTCGAATTAGTAAATGAATTGTACAGATATCATTTTCAACAGACATTGTTCCTATGTGCGCTTAATTTGCACGAAATTTTATTTCACCTGATATGTTTTTGCATTGTTTTGTGAAGATGATTAATCGTGAGAAAATGGTTGTAATACATACTCTCACAATAACACTTAATACTAAAACACGTTATTCATTAAAATACAGATAACAAAATACTTTTACTGTTGACGTTCTACGAACTGTTGCCCATGATCATAAAACAAGATATTTTAATCAATACATGAAGATTAAAAATAAGATTTTACCAAATTTTATTATGCTATGATTGGTTAATATAAGTGATAGAAATCTCTGAAATATACTTGCACTATACACTTCAATGGCGATAGATCGCTATGTTATAAGAACTGAATAACTAAATGATACAGCCACGGAACAATAATCAATATTACGTGAATCTTAATTAGAATAAGATGAAATCGTTTGTCTCAAAAAAGAATGCAAGTATATGGAGATAGATGATATAAAAGGATCGATTTAGAAACACATTAGGACAACATGAAAACAATGACACAAAGGCAGGCAATAAAGGACACACATACATATATACTGAAGAATAGACTACAATATAAAGTAGCCAAGAGAAAAACACATGAAGAAGAAACAATACAACCATTGACAAATATAAAATTAAAAGAAAGAAAGGCGGTAGTGACAATCCTAAATATTATTTTTTGGTCGCAAAATAGCCGGTGACCCAACCAACAGCAGCTCCAATGCCACCACCCACTGCAGTGCCTATTGGCCCAACTGCACTGCCGATTGCGGCACCTGTTCCCGCTCCAGCCACTGTTGTAATCATAATAGTCATTGCGGTTACGTCTATACCAGAGTTTGCAAGCGCGGTAATAATCGAAACTGTTGCCGCAACGATAACTGTAATACTACCAGAGACCGCACCAAGAATCTGTATTGCTGAGTCTGACACGTTCAGAGTGGTACGTAAAGTTCGACGGAACTCTTGTCCAAATGCTTTCCAATCATTCACAGCATGGAAATCCATATGATAACGAAATGTAAGTGTACCATCATAGAATCCGAGCTAAAATCATAGTTTCAGATGAAAGAAGTTCATTATAATATAAGATAACATAACAAAATGAACGGACTAAATAAAAATTCATGGCATCTTTAAATCAGTATTTTGTCAAAAAGATTTCTATTTCATGATTATCTGCAAGTACTGTTTGTTTCTGTACGAATCTATGATGTCAATCTTTCATCAATTCTAAAACCGATCATGGATAACTCCTACCACCAGAGTTTATAAATCAAGTTAGAGAAATAGACAAAGGTAACAATATTTGTGACGATATTGCTCTATCTATTTTTCTTAGTTCTTCTCCTCCTATTACCTATATAGTTTTCTCATTTATTTTGTTCTCTTCGTTCTTTCTTTTAGTTGCATGTATAAACACGTGGCTTATGTATGAAGAAGATGCAATTCTTGGTAAGAAGGAATGAAGAAAACAGTAACGCTGTTAGCACCAACACTTCGTCCATCGAAAACCGTCACTATAATATACAATGGTGTACTATATTCCGAACTGAGAGTAAAAGTCTACGGGACCTAAAAAATTAATCTATTAAATTCATTCCTTCAAGTCTGCAAATCAACTCTCTTTATTTAGCTGAAAGATTGAGGAGACTAAACTTTCAAGAAATTGCATACTTTCTAATTTCTTCCTGAAGAAATATTCATTATCTTTTCTACTGAATCGTTTTGTCTTTGATAAGAATAACTGTTTTGACTGTGGCTACGAAGAGCACACTTGTATATACCCTGTCGATTACTGTAACATAGCAACGAAGTAATTTGAAAGTTTCTCAATTTTCTTAGTTTTCTTCGTCTCTCGTAGAACTGAAAGGTAGCAAGGACAATAGCTAATCAGGACTAATCCCACTCGATTCAAATCATGTTTTCGATTCGTAAGAAACATATAGTTTTGTGTGTATTCATTGAATTTGAAATATAAGAAACGATAGACTTCACAATAAAGACAATATTTCTCTGTATAGTTTGTAAAGTAGGAATGCAATAGATGATAAGCCTAGAAATACTTCTTTCTGAAAAGCTGTGCGATCAAACCAGTTCTCCCTCCGATCCAGAACTGTCACACATTTACTGAAAAGAACGTTCTTAACGTCGCAAAATAATAATTACAAATTTTGAAAAGCATTATATTATTTTATATAGCGCTTCGTGTTGTTGGTTTAAAGATTAGATCGCGAATTCAACAGACTTCGTGAAACTTCATAAAACATCGTAGATTCTGTTATACGTTATTCATCATTTGTATTGTACTTACCGCTTGACAAGATTGTTGTTGACTGCCCGCGTTAAGCATGAGCTGTCCTAAAACTAATCTATGCGACTCCTTCTCAAGATTGGTGACAGTGTACGCCTAGAGATGATACATACAAGATTTAGAATGAAACATTAGAAAACAAACTGCTTACATTTTTGCTAATTTTAAGTAACTTCTCGGTAGTATATGATGGATCCAAAGATACAGCATATTGTGTCTTTTTATTATATTAGAGCAAAAGGCTATTATCAAGGCAAATGAAAAGTTGTAAGATGGTTATTGTGGCAGCTTATCGGTGTGAAGCTAACACTAATAAATTCTAGTCTGTTCGATTCGAAATTTAATTCTAAGTCGAATGGTGATGTTTTTATTCACAGGAAAACGATTGGGATGGACCTTATCTCGATTCTTAGTTTTTTCCTCGATATGTACATATATAAAAGAAAATTCAGGGAAAATTTTTCCATTCGTTTTCCCATGAATAAAGTTATTACCATTCGACTCAGAATTAAATTTTGAATCGAATAGACTAGATTTTATCGGCGGGAATTCATTTTCAGAAAATTCTTAGTTTCGTGATGCCGGCTTCACGCCGATTGGCAACTTCTGATGAAGCTACGCTTCTGTCTATTTCTGAAACGATATCTATGCCGATGTCAGTCAATCTGTTTTTCCGGTTCTTCTCTTTTTATCGTCTATATCAGTCTCTCGTCTGTTTGTTGTTTTTATCCTTTTTTTTTGGGTTATTATAACCGCGTGTTTTTTGTATGTCAAGAATGCGATTGTTGTTTACAAGAAATAAAGGAGAGGATCATACCATTAACACTAATCCTCCTCCCATTCTCATCCTCGCCCTCACACCCGGTATTGAAAAGGCTTCGTTTGCTATTAAAATTGGTCTACTTGAAACATGTTGATCTTGCTTAAAAATATTTATTAAAGATAAAAATATAGAATAGCACTTTTTCTTATGAGCAGTCATCCTATTCTGCAATATTGAACATTTGGGAGTCAGTTCCGTATCAAGAATCGATTCCGAGTGCGGAACTGGTTCCCAAATGTTCAACATTGCGGAATAGGATGTATTCTCTTTCTTATACATGCAAATCGATCATTTACAAATTAGAAGTTCAATCCCCATATCTACAAAATCAAAAAAAAACATCTCATCATTTCTTCCATGGATGAAGAGCCATTAATACAATAAAGGCAATGACCGCGATCACAACAAAAGCTAGAAAACAAAGATCAATGCAAAATATACCTCAATTAAACAGACTCACCAATAAAAACAGTTAATTTTATGTTTTTCCACTTCATATTTCGATCTACGCGTCTTGCTGCTCCACGGAAATGATATGAAGTTGAATATAAATCATCTGCTCGATTATTGAGTGCATCAAGATTTTCTCCACGTTGAACTAATTTACCAACTGTTACTTTCAAAACATCTGTTGTTGCTGTTACATCAGCACGTAATGCATTCAAATTACTTGCAGTTGGATTTTCTTCGGGATTATTCATCTGAAAAGACAAAATACAACATCAAATAAATACAATTTTCTAAATGAGAAATAGAAGTTAATAACTGATTGGTTCACAAATCAAAGAACAACATGTAGAAATAATCAGTAGAGATTAAAATGATGTTTACAAATAAATAACAACAGAAAAAAAAGAGAAGTTTAAATATCATTGAAGATATTGGTCGGTGGAGGTGCTCGACGAGAAGAAGAGCCTAAACAAAATAGATGATCAATTTACAGATTGTTATCAATAAAATAAATCAAGCAAAGAAGAACAAATATTCATATTTGTCAATAAAATATCAAATGGTGCACTAAGCAATGTTCATCGCCCCCTTTTCTTTTTTGTGAATGTTTACCGAACATTACGATAGAAATTTATACAATCTACGGATCGATGCTAAAACAAAGTTTCTGTCGCTTTCACTCATTAATTTCGATTTCTGTGGATAAAAATCTCATTTATGTTTGTTTTCATACCTGTGATTGATGTTGAATTTGATGGAACTTGTTGATTAGTATTCATAGTTATCAGTGGTTCTTCAGAACTTGATACGGAGCCTTTCAGTTGACGAGTTTCTATTGAAATATGTTTTGAAAAAGTCATCTTCCATTATTGAATTTTACCTGACTGAATTTCAGATAATTCGTCATCTCGATATTTCGATAATTGAACATTCTTTGCCGTTGCTGATGATGACGATCGCAATCCGTACTTTTCTTCAATTTCTCTACGACGATCTCTTCGTTGACTTGCTGTGGTTGTATTCGGTACTGTTGATAAAACATCGACTCCACCAAAGCTTCGTCGTTCTAAATGTTGTTTTTCTTGAAAATAGAAAAAAGCAAAAAACAAATAATCGAACCTTTTTTCATGAGATTTTTTCCATCTTCTACATATTCAGCTGAAATATGATCATCATCAAAGAATTGTCGTACACCAAATATGTGTAAACATCGTGAACCAAATCGAAAATATGTTCCTAGACATAACAAACACACTAACATCGGAAAATAAAAGTTAAAGCCACTGGAAATGATTGGAATAACATTCATACGACCCATAATCTACAAAAAATTTCATCATTCTTTACCTTTTATCAGATAAACATGTTCTTTACTTCAGTGAAAACTGTTTCTTGTCGAAAGGTTTCTTTTGTAATCATCTGATCCATATGAATCATTCCGAGAAAATTATAACTCAATGGTGCAGTTAAACGACAAAGAAATGTTGCAGCAAAGATCAAACTATTCTCATCCGTCAAATGGTAAAGCGACAAATAAAAATAATTAAATATACGAAAACGGAATATTGTATAATATGCACATAAACATAAATAAGCAAGACTGAAACAACAAACAATCTAGAAAATAATTCAATTCGATCGAACATTGTTTAATGAATAAAAGCAAATTTACTTCTATTGTGAAATAATCGTAATGATGACGTGCTGAGTTGACAATACGAGCAAATATCGATAAAACAGGTTTTGTGCTGAAAAATGTTAGTTCGGACCAGATAACAATTACTGATAAGATGCCTAAACTAACACCAAGGATACGAAGACCCCAGGGTCGTAAAAAGCACAATGTATACCATTCTATACGACAAGAATATAAATGAAATCTGAATGAGAAAAAGAAATGTTTACCTAAAACTGGATGTTCATCAAATAGTTTTTGTCTCAACCAAGATTTCGGTAGAGGACTCTGTTTAATAAATGAACGATTGGTATTCTTTTCATTATTCAGAATATCTTCCAAATAAAATGCTTCATCAATCATTTGTATCCACGATGCTTGAACACGATGATGAATATGTTTACTTTTCTTCAGTAGGCCATGTAATTTGATCAGCTGTTTCTCTGTTGGTAAATCAACTAAATTATTTGATGTTGTTGTTGATCGATAATCTTCATAATCGTCCATAGTGAGTTTTACTCGATTGGAATATTGTTCAGGTATAATTCGAACAATTTCTTCTAAACATGGCCGTAATGAGTCGTTGTATTTGATTTGATGACACAATTTCGAAACTTCTTCGACAAGAGATTCCAAACGTTCTTCAATATCGATTTTTTCATTGTATAATTGAGATAATTTGAATTGTACATGAGATAGAGCAAAAGATGTTCGAGAATGGTTATAAACATTTATTGGAACTTCGACAAGACCATAACCAAGCATAAGAACAAGAAGAAACAAACCCCATGTTGTACTTGCTGCGATAATTGTTACCTAAAAACACACCAAATCGTTAGTCTCAGTCGTTCTTTTCTCGTAATAATCTACCTTGAAATTAGACGCGGTTAAATGGTAATTAATCGCGACATAAATAACAAGAACTCCGAATAGTAATAAGAGTGTTCCATAATAGAACAGATTTGATCGAAGAGCATAGCGAATTTTTCCTCTCCAATAAAATTCTCCTACATGAACAGTTTCCATTGTTGAAGAGAAATCAGTCTATGTGAACTCACCTGTTTGACAGACTGCCTGCATGAATGGCAAAACAAGCCTAAGAAGAGTAAATAAAGGCTATCTCTCAATGAAAAACCAGTGAAGTTTTTTTACCAAGTCAAACATTGTGACGTCCAATAAATAATTCTCCACAAAACGCCGTACGATTTCTGATTTACATAAGACCATGGTTGCGGACATGGTTTTTCGATTGAATTGCTCTACAACAATATTCGCATTACACATCTCAATGAAATCATTTTCTTACTAAATTTAAATTAATTGGGCTCGCCGTTGTCGTGGTTGTGACATTCGGATTACTGCATTCCCGATATGCTGCCTAAAACGAGCGAGAAACAGAGAAATGTACATGAAGGTGAAAAGACAAACACTTACCAATGAAATATCCAATGGAAGAAGAAAGATGAATGAAACTGAGAATGACCATGATATGAAAACTGCCACGGTTGTGATCGGATGTTGTCGACGGTAATTTCCACAGCGATAAAGAAAGATTAATGCTATCAAACAAGATGCTATAATGTCGAACACTAAAGCTACACTCGACATGTTGACAGAAAGCTTTTTTTGTATCTAAAACAATTAATTATCTCCTTCATTTAATTTAACTAAAGGAAGTTTCGAAAGCAAAATACAAATCGCTGGAATATCTTTATTCACTTTTAATGTGTCTAACTCAACATTCGAATTCACCGGTCGCCAAATTTGTTCAATTCGTTTATAACCAATCTGAACATGTTCATAAAAATTCGTCTGTGAACGTCGTTTTGTTAGTTCAGCACAAGCAATCGCTTTCGATATTCCATCACCGAATGCATTCCATGTGATTTGTTCAATCGGAACAACACTAGCATCAGTTGGAAATAGTTTTCGCATAGCAAATTGTATTAAATTCTTTGTTTTTGAACCGGAACGAACTTGCATATGAAGACAAGAAGGATGAAGAATAAATGGCAATGATAATGATACTGATGGGGTATCATCAAGAGCTTCACTCGGAGCGTATTGCTCAATAGCCGCATCCATATCTGAAGAATAAAAAAGAGATCAAGTTTTATCACAATTATATTCACATACGAAATGATCATCTGACATTATCTGACTAATTATTTCCATTCTTTACATATCAAAAATAGATTCGTTTTTTTTTTCACAACAAAAAATAATCAAAACTATTGCATGGTTAACATATCTTCTAAATCGATTGAAAATCTCCGATAAACGAAAAGTAAGGACACGTTACTCTTGATTAATATCAAAGCTTTCTACTGGCTGGACTTCATATTTCGCAATTGAGATCAGTAGCCAATGAATATTTACACATCGAACATTAAATTGTTGACAAGTGTCCAAAAGGGCTTTGCGTTTCTTGTCCGTTCCATTGAAACCGTGAATACCGAGAACAAGAAGGATTTGTCTTTGCTTATCGATCGTTCGTATTTCACTAAAACTGCGTATAAATTTCGCTCCACATAATTCGATTAACTCTTGCACCTGTTCGACTGTTTGCAATGGAGCACAATCGCTATTCGAACAACGTAGAAATATCGAATAATTTTCCAGAAGATATGAAGGTGTTAAACGTGATCGGCGCATTCCACCATGATCAAAGCCTAAACTTGTATCACCACGAATTTCGTAGGGACGTTCGTCGACGATGGAATCTTGTGCTATACATTCATTTAACCAACGATGTGAAACGATAAATAAATGACGAGCAATGCCTTGAATGGTTTTTCCAGTTAATGGACAAACAAGTACAGATTGTTCGTTGACAATGACATGAGTAGTGGAAGAATCGACTGCAGAACTGATGGAAGCGTTGAAACGACTAATGAATGAACGAAATTGTGACTAAAAAGAAAGACAAATTGAGTCGAAAAGGATTAGACTCGGTGTGTTTTTACTTTTTGAGTTTCATCGAGTGAAGATGCCGTTAGAACTAAACGTCGACCAGTTGGACAAGTGTTGTTACTCGATGAAATGAGAAGTGTTGATGAATGATCCATCAATGCAGTTGTCTCAACTTTTTCAATTGTAGATAAATCACCAATTGGTTCTGCTGTAACGTCTTTTATTATCGTGGAAGAAAGAATATTGTCTATCGGATTCGTCACAGTAACAGGAGGAGGCGTAGGAGGAACAATAGTTTCGACTGGAGGAGGTGGAAGTTGAACAGTCTCTTCAATCTGGTTGTCCTTCTCGATTGTTGCCTAAATACATAAAAGAAATCAATTGAAGAACGTTGATGCAAAGATTTTACCTCATCGGACGTTTCTTCAACTGTTGTTGATTCGTTATTCGGTGGTGAAGGTACAACCAATCGTGGATTATTTCGTCGACGACCGCGAATCCGTCGAAATCGAGAATAGTGTTGCGTGGGTCGGCGTTTCGGTTGAATGTCCGAGCTTGGTATTGTTGGAACAATACTAACAAATCGAGACATCTTCTCCATAAATAAACGTTCGAGTTTACTGTATCGCTAAAAAGAAACAAAAACGAGAATAAAAATATGAAAATGATTGATTGAGTCTGTCACTTACGAGAACGCAAGGACAAGTGGACACATCTTGACAGCAAGGATGAGTAGACGAAGTAGTTTGACTATTATCTGTTTGAATGGCGATTTCATTCAGCTGCGTAATTGTTGTTTTCTTCGGTTGAGTCATTGTTTTTGGTATCGAATGTACTTGGGAGATGGGTTTTATCGGTTGTAGTTGAGTTTTTCCTGTTTGAGTAAGGTAAATTGGTGCCGTAATCTCCTCTTCTTGCTCTTCATTATCTTTCTGAGTTTCTTCAATTTGTGTGGGCGATCTGAATGATGTTGATGGTTCTTCGAGTTTTTTCATCAATCGGTCAATGTCTCTTTGCCATGAACTATCATTATGTTGCATGTCTGTGTCAACCATTGTGTCTGGGATAGCGTACGTGTCGGTTTGTGTATCATCAATAATATGATTTTGGTCGTTGAGAGTGTAAGTTGTGTTGGAGATTGTGGGTGGACGCGCATTCGATGGGTTTCTATTGGCGAGAATTTTCGCATTTGTTGCTGCAGCGCGTGCGAGATTTGTTCGACCACCTTAGACAAAGAGAACATATTCGATTGAATCGAAATAAAAACGAAAGAAAAGTGATTTACTTACCGGATGTCTCGTAGATAAGTTTGACTTGTTCAATTGCTTGAATTTCTTCGTCGGGTGGTTGGTTTTCATCGTTTTCTGTGTTAACTAGATTCAAATATCAATAAACAAGAATCAAATGAAGGAAAACTGAGCAGTACTTTTCGGTCGTTTGATTGCCTTGGTTTTTTTATCGTCACGTGGTCGTTTTTTCGGATTGACGAATTGAGAAAATCCGGATTGAATATTCGACATGAATGAATGATCATTTTCATCAATTGCTGACGTCATCGGAGATTTTTGTGATGAACGAGTAACAATCCGTTGCTGTGCGGGTTTTGCAACGGGTTTTTTCGTATTATTTGTTGGTGCTTTGCGGGTTCGACTGGAACTGCGTGTTCGTGGTGTACTGGAAATTGAATCATCCATTGAAAATTGATAAGGATCATCTGTAGTCGTCATTGAACTGAGATTCTATGTTTGAAAAGCGCGTGCATTGCCAAGTATAGGAGAACAACGACACAAGAGCTTCTCAATGAGTCATGAAGAATCGTTTTCGAACCAACGACTATTCTTACTCATCTACAAAAAGACAATTTCAACTTTTTTACTTTTTCTTTACAAAACTTCAAATGTCCTCATCCAAAAAAACACAATATTTTAACTTCTATAGATGTCGCTGTTCTTCAGTCAATATTGACAAACTCTGGATGTATCCTCCTATCTATGATAAGAACTGAGAGATGAAATATTTATTGTGTGTGAGACAGACGTGTAATTACCGCATGATTATAAAACATCGATGATGGCGAACAACACAATAATTTCTAATCAACTTGCTTCGATCTTGACAAAATATTCATTAGGTGAACTTGCATCACCAATTGAACAATTGACCAATGGTTGGACGAATTTAACTTTTAAATTTCATACAAAACCAAGTGGAGAAGCTTATATTCTTCGTCAGTATCTTCCAAGTACATTTCGAGAAATCAATTTAGAAAATATTCAATTTGAATTAAATTTTATTGCACATCTTTTCAATCAACTTCAACTTCCTGTTGCAGCTGCGATTGATCCGCCGGGAATATTTACGTTTGATAATCGAACTTATTGCGCAATATTTCCGTTCATTCGAGGAATCAAATATTTAGATACGCCTCAAACACCAACGCGGCAGCTATGGCAAACTGTGTCAATAGCTCGATTCCTTGGTCGAATGCATTCAGATCAACCAGAAACGAAGTCAATCACCCGACGTTCAGTTAACTTCTTGGATGTGAAGTATGAACTCGTCTTCAATTGTGACGAATTTCAAGAAGAATATCCTGATTTATACAAAAGAATACGCGTGATAACCGATGAATATTTAACCAATATTCCATTGATCAGTGATAAAACTGAACAGAATCGTTACCAGGACGAGCTCGAAAAAGATTTACCTATTGGTTATATTCATGCTGATCTACATGATGACAATGTCATTTTCTCTCCGACTGAAAACAAACTCGCAGCTGTTTTAGATTTCGACGACATGTACATCGGTCCATTTTTAATTGATTTTACAATGGCATTATGCTTATGGTGTTCAGTTGGATCGAAATTGCAATCGGACTATGTAAAAGAGTTTCTCGATGTCTATGAGAATGAAAGAAGAATGTTAATAACCGAGAAAGAATGGCAATTAATGGGTACATATTGTTATTTTACTGTACTTAATCAAATCTTATTTACAATTGAAGCTGAAAACGACGCAAAGCCAAAGGAAGAGATGATAAATGAATTGCTTTTACCAGTTGAATTTATAGGAAAAGAAATGAAACTTTTATTTTCGTGTGATCATTTGAAGAAATGAATTGATCGTCAAAATTTGTTTTGTTTTCTTAAAATNGAGAAAGAATGGCAATTAATGGGTACATATTGTTATTTTACTGTACTTAATCAAATCTTATTTACAATTGAAGCTGAAAACGACGCAAAGCCAAAGGAAGAGATGATAAATGAATTGCTTTTACCAGTTGAATTTATAGGAAAAGAAATGAAACTTTTATTTTCGTGTGATCATTTGAAGAAATGAATTGATCGTCAAAATTTGTTTTGTTTTCTTAAAATTTATATGTCATTTCATCGACTTCGGGTAATTTCGAAGCTGTGAAAGAAGAACTTTGTGTTTGTTGAAAAGATAAGTCTGTAGAAGGACGACCAGATGGAGGTCGACGATAAACAATTCGACGTGTTGCAATTAACGGAACATAATTTTCATAAACCATCTTCGGTAAAGGAATTATTTCATAACGATCTTGTGAAATCGGTTCTTGAGGAACACCAGCAGGCAATTCAATTTCACTTGGATCATCACCTGTATTCGTTTCAATTTCTTTCGCAGTTAAATGTGATCGAGGCGGATTATGATTAACATAACCTTGTTGTTCTTCCATTTCGGTAAAATGCCAAGGCGGTTCGAGATAATTATATGGATAATTTATATAACTAAACAGAATGGGCAAAGTTTACTTGATAGAGATGAATGATTTCATTACCCATGGAAATTTTTCAATTTGCCTTGTTGAATTAAACGTTGAATTTGTTCTCCTGGATTCGTAAACATGTCCACAGGTGGAATTTGTGCTTGTTGAGCATTAATAATATTCAATTGAGGTTTGATATCAGGATATTTCGCTGTATATTCTTCATTATGTTCATAATCGGCGATATCAGCATCACCCGTTGAAAATTCTAGTTTATCAGCTTGTTTAATACGCTCAATACGTGGTTGAGCAGTGTGTTGAGGTGGCCGAACGACTTCTCCGGCTAGTACCCGATCATTTAAATGAAAACGTGATGTATCTGTGTCAAATAATAACGCTGATGCGGCATTTTGTGTATAAGTAAAATTTGGATTATCTGGCATAGAATTACTTGAATCAGTCAGAGGATCTGTTGGAAACGACGGCTGTGCTGCTTGATGTGATGGATCACTTGCAATTGTTGATCGACTACCATTATAATTTAACTTTTGGTTATACATATCAACAAGCTCATTCAACGACATTATGTATTTTGTGGTTTGT